TTCCACAGGCTCTGAGATTCCTGCCTGCACAAGAACCTGGACCACAGCTAAGACCATGTGATGTACACACTCCCATGAGTTATTTTATGTGATAGTTATATGTATTCTAAATGAACTACAAACAAAAAATATATACATTTCTTTTTTCCTCGCATTCTTTCTTGTAGCAATTCCCTCTCAGTCACACACCTGACTGAAAGGCTCATTATGCAGCTCATTATGCGGGCCTTTGTCTTCTCAGGTGTGAATCACAGCATTATTCATGATCATTCACGCCTACTCGCATATACCTTTTCTACACAAAAAGTGTCTTAGAAAATTTAAATCAATATATTGTTTTCTGTGAATGAGTAAGATGATTTTCACATAATTTTGAAGCAAAAACTCTAGACTTCAAGATCAGTTCTCAAAAGTCTTGTGATCGAATGTTCTGTATGTGTTTTATGGCCTTATTTCAGTGACTTTAAAATTGTAGTTTTTCACTAAGCACGCATAAACGTTGTTTTCTCAAAAACACAATCACGTACATACATGCTGCTCACATATTATTGTAGCCCAGTTTGTGCTGATTACAGTGTTATTAAACTTTAGACATTCAAATGTTTGTAAGCAACTGAAAAAAGCACAAATGTCAGGGCATGTCAAAACTTTTCCAGGCCCCAAAACACCCTCGGACCCCAGAGGGGTCTACTCTGGGACTACTTCAGTCTGTGTGCATTGAATTTATTTAATACACGAGTTTCACAATTTGAGTTGAATTACTGAAATAAATGAACTTTTCCACGACATTCTAATTATTGAGATGCACCTGTATTGTTATTTTTAGTTACAGTATTAGTTCAGTGGCAGTTCAAGATGACCATTGTCATTGAGAATGCATAGTCAATACCCAGAGGCTAAAATGGGCCCGGATGAGTTCCCACTCCACACTGAATGGGAATTTATGGAACTGGGGGGATAGTATAACTGGTGTAAAAATATATAAATAAATGAATAAATAAAAAATGTGAATGCAATAAAATTATAATACGTTTGTTTACTGTATTTTGCTCATAATTTTAAAAATGCAGATGTGTGTTCATATTTTTAGATAAAATCAAATATATATGTACTGTAAAGGTTGAAAATAAGCAAATGTAAATAATGGAGGCATGATAAAAAGTTTTCAAGAAAGTGTTAATTTAGCGTTCATCATACAAAAAACAAAGTTTAAATACATACATACATACATACATAAATGCATGAACTAATGCCACAGTGCTCTTCTACAGCAACTTCCTGATTATGACAGACATGGTAGTAAATGAGTTTTCGTTCTGTTCTTCCTTTCTTTCTCATATTAGATCAGAATAGACAGAGAAAATGTGCGAGCAGGAATCAGGTTAGAGATTCTCCAGAAAATGTTTGGTTGGTTAAAGTCCTTTGATAGCATGAGAGGAACACAATGAACTCACTGTAGCTGCTCTGGAGATTCATTTCATGACAGGTAATATGTTACCTAAAGCTCTTCTCCCTGATTCTTTTAAAAGCACTATTAATGTTTTATATATATATATATATATATTTTTTTTTTTTTCCTATTTTGTTCTTCATGAACTACTCTTCTTTGCTTTCAATTCCAGTTTGAATAAAATAGCAGAGTGAAAATTATCTTAGATCATTGTGTGAAGTCTGAAAGCATGTGGTCAAGTACAAGTGTTTTATTTCTTCACTATTAGCATCAACAAACGGAGGTACTAAATTAGACATGTTTCCTGATCACTCCCCAACTGAAAGTCCCGTCCCAAACACACACCAGTCCATTAGTTGAGTAAGTGTCAGACTGGTCAGGATGCTCATAAAAACAGTAAATTAATTTTATTTTTGCCACATTTGCCTGATGAACTCCTCATTTGGATTCATGTTGTAATGTAAGGTGAACTCAAAAAAGAGGGAGAGATGGATCCAAACGCAGTGAGTTTAATGAGCAAAACAAAAATACAAATGAACTCAGAAAACATCAAGGTAACAAATCCAAGCCGGAGGAACAGAATGAGCACACCAAACACACAGCCTTACAGGACAAGACTCGACAAAAAAGACAGGAAACTTTTTTTTTTTGCCAACCCTAAATACTGACATTCATGCACACCAATCAATCAACCAATCAGTCAATCAATCAATACAGTGCAAAGTAAAGTATGTTCACTTAAAACTTGATTTATTTTATTGTATCTTTTGACACAAAAGCTTCTTTGCATAATTACAAAATCAAATTATTAATCAGGCTAAACTAAAAAAAATGTTATGGCATACAAGACTATATGTTTTACTTATTTCATATATTGGTTGTTGAATTCATATGTAATTAATTTATTATTTTCTTAAAAGATTTTGTTATCACAGATCCATCTAAAAGCATCATTACATGGATAATCATACCACCCTGATGGATAAGACACAACGCAGTTCTCTCCTCTTTGTCCATTTGGCTCTCCAGACCCCCAGAACCTATAGCAACAGATCAGCATTAGATGTTCAGTGCTATTTTCTATGTGATATGATACTGCCTGTGAGAATCATTTATTAGATAACAATCAGTTTAATTCAGTGATTTCTCACCCAGAGGTCAATGTGCTGCCATCAACCCATTTCCATCTGCCCTCTTCATCACTGTCAGTCAGACCAATCCAGAATTCATTACCACGGGAAACCTTTTTTGCAAAGTCCTAGTAGAATAAACCAGGCATGCAACTTCCAAATAGACATCCACATACCATATTAGAAAATATATAGGCCTACTCTTTTCCTCCGCTCTCTTTTTCACTCACTTGTTCCTCTCTGTCGTTTATGATGATCAGATCTGCTCCTCTCTCCATACAGTAACTTTTGCTCTCATTCAAGGTCTTCTTCAGTGAGGAAATGAAGTAAAAGCTGAAGTTAGAGTATAACCATCCATCTGTAAACACAACCAGTTCAGCTATTAGCTCAATATTCCCACCTACAGTACACTGAATAATGAAACATTAGTAATAGCTCATTGCTTAGTTGCAGCTCAGTATCACCTGTTTCACTGAGAATCTTCCGCAGTTGATTTCTCTCTTGCTTGAACTGTTCTCTTTGTTTAGTCAGGTTGTCATTATTGATTAATAATCCATTTCTTTCATTTGTCATGTTTATGTACTTGGTTAGTAGCTGGTCTCTCTCTTCTGTGAGGTTGGTGATCTTGGTTATGGTGCAGAGCACTAATTCTGAGTATGGGCCACCATACTTGGCCTCACGTCACTCACTTTTTACTAGCATGAGAGGAGCACAACAAACTCACTGGAACTGCTCTGGAGCTTCACTTCCTCTAATAGTCTGAATATTTCATCATGTCAAACCTCTCTAAAGCAGGTCACTGTTTGTTTTACTCTTGGACGCTACTCAGTTGTGCTGTTTAAGAGATCCAATCCTCTACAGATGTATATTTGATTCTTAAGAAACACTTAAAACACTGACTGAAATTACAAGACTGACATTGTCCAGTGTGGTGTGACACAATAATACCCCTGTAAGTTAAACATGTCAAGACTTTAATGACATAACATTACAGCAACATGTAAAACAAAATACGAAATGTAAAAAAGGTTGAGGGTTTAGGAGTGGAAACTCTTTATTCATGTTAAAATACTCTGTATAAACATGTATTTCATGGAATGTGATACTTTACAAAACTCTTCTCACAGATCCATTTATATGGACCATTATTACACTGATAGTCATACCACCCTGATGAATATGACACAGCACAGTTCTTTAACCTGTATCCATTTGGCTCTCCAGACACCCAGAATCTGAAACTACAGATCAGCATTCAGTGTTCAGTGCTGTTTTCTCAGTGATTTGATAATGACTGCCAGAATTATTTATTAGATAATAATCAGTTCAATTCAGGTTTTTTTCCTCACCCAGAGGTCATGTTGGTGCCATCAACCCATTTCCATCTGCCCTCCACATCACTATCAGTCAGACCAATCCAGACTCCAGCACCACCAGAAATCTTGTTAATAAATTCCTAGTAGAATGAGCCAGGTAGACATTAAGTTCCTAACGTTCAAATAGATTTCCACATACTTTGAAGAAAATAACTCTCTTTCACTCACTTGTTCCTCTCTGTTGTTTGTGATGATCAGAGCTGCTCCTCTCTCCATACGGTATCTTTTGCTCTCAGTCCAGCTCGTCCACTCAGAGGAAATGAAGTACAAACTAAAGTTATAGTATGTCCATCCATCTGTAAACACAAATCAGTTAAGCTATTTGCTCCTTATTCCCAACAACAATGAATTAATAAACTTGTTTTTAGTTATAGTGTTCAGTTGCAGTTCAAGATTACCTTTTTCATTGAGACTCTTCCAAAGTTCATTGCTCTCCTGAATAAACTGATCTTTCTGTTTAGACAGGTTTATATTCTTGGATATTAATTCATCCCATTCTATTTTTGTGACATTTATGTTCTTGTCAAGTAGCTTGTCTTTTTCTTCTACCAGGTTAGTAATCTTGGTTAGTAGCTGGTCTCTCTCATCTGTGAGGTTTTTATTCCTGGTTAGAACCTGGTCTCTTTCTTCCATGATGTTTTTACCCTTGGTTTGCAGCAGGTCGATGTTTGTAAAGACTTGGACACACAGTACTATGACTGCAGTCAGTAGAAGAACACACATCAGCACCAAACACACTAGAGCTGATCCGGAGCTTCTGATCTTCACTGAATCACTTCCTGAAGATGACAGATATTATTATTATTTATTTTTTTTTTACTACTAATATGACTAAAATGTTTATGTTAGTTGGTATTCTAATGAAATGAGTCTCAGTACCTGTATATTGAGGAGTTTGGTTCGCTGTTCCTGTCCTGACATCATGACTCTTTATAGTATCTGCATTGGTGTCACTGTTCATCTCTTCTCCATCTCTGCTGTCCATTTCCCATATTTCATCAGTGTTTATATTGCCATAAATACTCTCTGACATTTTCAGTCACTGTGAATCAGTTGTGAAATGATAGACACTGTTTCTTCTCTATAGTCGTCTGCTTTTTGAGACAGTACTTTCAGCAGATGAATGTTTCAGCAGTCCAAAGTATGTCAAAGAACAAGAGAATGTGTGAAGTCTTGTGTGTTCATACAAATTCATTTGCATAGCAACCGTAAGTCAAAAACATTAATAGTCTTGATAAAGGGTAAAGTAGAAATCACATGGTTTGGTGTCACCTCGGTTCAGCACTTTATTTCTCTGTTCCTAGAAGCTCAGAGCAACAGAAATAGCTGCCAAATTCAAATTATCAAATGTTTTTCTGCGGTGGTTAAAGTGAATGTATTGGGCCTCTCTCTCAAAACTTTCAAAGCAAAACCACTGCTGACTAGCTGCTTGCAGGTTTAAAACTCCTGACACTTAAAAAAACTAGGTTACCCTGACCAGGGGCATTGGACAGGAGGTAATGGTGAAACAGTTCCAGGGGGACCTAAAGCAATAACCTGTACAGGAGGCCCAGAATCCCTAGTGGTGCCCCTGATGGTGAGGCACTTGCAATGAAGGTGAATAGGGCCAATGATTTTCCACAGAAGCTGCTGGTTTTAACTACTAACAGCATATGCACATTTCTCTGAAGGTTCTTTTTGAGACAGTCATGGCTAACTAATGCTGGATGTATCTCTACACACACACACACACACAAAGGTCTTTCAGCGGTTCTTTGGGGCAGTCAAGGTGCTATACAGCACCCCTGCCATACAACAGTGTATTTCCTGAAGATAACGTGGTTATCAACCTTTTTGCCCCCAAGGCCCCCTATAAGCAAACATTTAAGGTCCACCACACAAGACTTTTTGACCTCAGAAAAGCATAAAAGTGATTCAAAACAGCTTTTGCCATTCCTATTCATAGCAAACATATGAGAGTGGAATAACAAATCTAAAATCTAAGGAGGAGAATGGGGTTCCTCTTATGGTTCTACATAGTACCGTTTGACAAAGATGCTGTATAGCACCTTTAAAGATAGGTGCTATATAGCACTTAAAGTGGTTCCTCTATGATTACGAGCCATTATTACATGGCTCTGTGAAATACTTGATTCTGATTGGTTAGTCCCAAAATTCCAAGGTATGTTATCCCTCGATAACAACCGGTAAAAGCTAATAACATAGGCTCATCCGGGTAACTGAAGTCGGCGCTACACTCAAAAAAATGAAATGTGGCTGCTGTTGGTCCAAAGAATGTAACTACGTCTAAATTAAATAATTCCCTTACGTTTCTGTATTAAAATTAAAAGAGTTGTGTTGACCAAATTAGAAAAAGTAATATTTCAAATTTACACAGTTCACTTAAGTAAAGTGAATGAAATGGAGTTGAGCTGCTTCTGCAGTACCGCACTTTGGTCAGCAGGTGGAGAAATATCTGCACATGCGCAGATGGACAGCACATTCAAAGATCACTCTTCAGCGATCGGCGCCATTTTTGAATCAGACGAAGATCGCAGTGCCAAACGAGGAACGTTTTCTTTATGAGGAAACACAGGTGGGATATTTTACTTTTTATGCATATATATTGAGGCTGTCATTTTATTAGAATGGTTAATCGCGCATAATCTCATGTTTTGTATGGGATTTTCATGAAGACACTTAAATAAGCTTGTTTGTTAGGTCATTCAACACATACTAAAGTTTAGGAGTTGGCAGTGTTTTTTATTATTATTATTATTATTAGGTGACTCACACCTTTTTTCCCAACCTCACAGAGTTTTACAGTGCTACATGTGGCTGTGCAGAGATTATGGTTCCTCTCACACATCCAGATCAAATCCAGCACTCTTTATAGAGCAAGAGGTAAGTCTTTGTAATGTCAGCTGTGATGAATTAACGTACTTGGATATTTTTGTAATTCTAAATTATGTGTTGAAGTTTAGATGTAATTCAGATTTGTGTTCATTTGTAATAATTTTGTATGTAATCTGTAAGTGCTGGTAAAGGAATACTATGATTGTTGGTGTATAATATTATTTTAAGGTTTGTCCCAAATTTATCAGCAGCCAACCTGATTTGTCCTTTTAAAACTGTATTAGGTATCTGTGAAATTCAGTTGGATTACAACAATCCCTTTGGTCTCCAAATATATGGGACTGCTTGATCATTTCTCAAATCAAAGAAAGGAGCAGCAGCAGCACAGAAGATCACAAACATCATGTCAGTTATGGCTCAGGTATGTTATCTAAATTCACTGTCATTTTAAATCTGACAATAATTCATCATAGGTTAAAATAATATTTCACCCAAAGATGAAAATTCGGTCATCATTTGCTCAGCCTCATGTCGTTGAACCTCTTACATCTTTTTTTTTTGTTTTTGTTGCCTGAACTAAAATGATGCATTTTGGCCAATTTGTCCTGCTCTTTTTTTTGTGTACACAATAAAAGTCAATGGTGAATTCCTGTTCTGAATCTTCAAATGTAACATGTAATTTTTTAATGCTTTTGAAGCTTCAGAAGAGAAACTCACCCTTGACTGTCATTTTATCATCAGAAATGAGCAAGACAAACTAACCAAATTTTGCATTTTATGTAAGGGAGTCTAAAAGATAAAACAACTGATAATGATTTTCTTTTGGTGAATTATCCCTTTAAAGCCTGGAGTATATACAGCATATGCTAAAATGTTCATATGTGCATAATTCATACTGTTTTAATTTCAGGGCTTGTTTGTAGCTTTATCAAATTTCTCAGCAGCAGAGTTGTGTTTTTGCACCTACAACTGGAACAACTCTGACATCCAAGACTACTGTGTATCTTTCCCATAGCAAAGTTTCTGATTTAGGAACATTTGTTGGGTTTTCTTGTACTGGTTCCCAGGATTGAAAATTTGAGTTTTGTAGAAACAACACAGTGATCTGTGATACACACAGATCTGTATAATACTACTTAAAATGTTAGATGAACAGTAACAAGTCTAAAAAGTCAAGTGCTAACTAATGCTGTTCATTTTACATATTCAGAATGTCTCCATCAGCAAAAAATGTGAATGCATCCTGAAAGCCCTGGCTGTCTGCCTGAAGGAAGACCCCTCAAACCTTGTGAAGGAGTACATGGTAGGTTATTTACCTTTTTCATTAAAACCTAGTGTATGTTTCTCCAAAACCAACTTCATTTACCCTTGATCTGTTGGTAATTGTTTCTTTTTGTACTTGACATTTTTAGAATGTTGAACATGTTGAAGCCCTAACCTCAACGCGCAACACCACGCTGGGAATCTGTGTCATCATACAGATGCTACAGACCTTTACGAATAATGTTGTACCGTTGGCTGTTGCAGTACATTTGTTTTTCGGTACTGAACATGTTACATTCCTTTCAACGTTGGTCTTGCTTTGAATAATTGATGCATTTTCATTACAAAAGAAGACTATTTTGTAAATCCTACCTAAAATCCATGCTTTTATTTTTTATTAGTATGCTTTTTTACACTTTTCTTGTAATAAGACAAGATAACTGATTAAAAAAAGTGAAGGCAGTCTTTAGATTTTGTACAAATTATTCTTCTTGGAAAAATTTGTAAAAGTAAAAAAAAAAATGTTGAATGTATTTATTGAATAAACTCAATGAAACTGTATTATTTGTTTTGATTGAATGTGACCATATTAATTTTAGAATAATTGAACTTGATTAACTTAATAGATTAAAACGAAGTCAAGAATGTTAAGTTGATTCAACTAAACAACATTGTATTAACTTTATGTAATTAACTTAAGTTCACTAAAATCAATATTGTTACTTAAATGCAACCTAACTCAGTTACGTGGAACCTGTTGACATAAAAAAGTTAAGTAAGGCCAACACGTTTTTCTTCATGGAAGCTTTGTGTTTGGTTAGCTAATAAAATAATAACACTCAATTCAATATTATGTGTACAATTATTTAATTATGTCATCCTGTTATCACTATGGACTCGCTCTCTCATTTCATACAAATGCAACTGCTGTCTTCACGGAAGCTGTGCATTCAAATATTTAGACTCAAATCAATATTTTGTGTCTAATTATTTACTTATGTGGCAAGTAGCCGTGTAATAAGCAGGATAATGTTCATCCAGCCAGTTGTTATCGCAGAATAACCACCTTTAGGGTGATACAAGACCCCTCTGCTTTGTGCCGGGGTCCTGATCACCCTGTCGGGAGTTATTCTGCGATAACAACCGGCTGGATGTACATTATCCCTTACATGAACCACTCCTATGAATGAATGAACATAGGAGTGAATGAATGAACATGAATGAACTCCTAGTGGAATGAACCAGACAGCAGCATTTAACATCTGCGGTGCTAAGTAGAAATAAGGGTGCAACACAAACTGGTGTGCCACATTCTGTTATTCATTCACTTGTTCCTCTCTGTTGTTTATGATGATCAGATCTGCTCCTTTCTCTGTAAAGTATCTTCTGCTCTCAGTCCAGCTTTTCCACTCAGAGGAAATAAAGTAAAAACTGGACTGATAAATCCATCCATCTGTAAACAAAACCAGAACAAAACCTTCCTAAGAACCAAAACCAAAGTCCACAAAAACACTGAGCATGTAAATTATTATTAA